TTACCGGACCCGTATGGTAATCCTAACCACACTTGTCCAGTAAACACCTATTTTCCAGACTAGTAAAGTAATATACTATTACATTACAAATACTAAAACAGGTCACAAGTGTTTACTTCTTACACAACTAAATACTTAAAAAAACATTTTAACAAAACGTTAAGTATGGTAAGCTGCAAAATAATAGTAGCAAAAGAAAAAGTATAATGAGGGTAAAATACGAGTCAAAATTGGTTAAGATTGGTACAACGTAAACCACTTGTAAAATAGTGGATCAATCATGATATTCTAATTATAATTAAGTTTCAACAATGTAACAGCTGGTTTGTTTTCAGGTATTTATCAAGATCAGGTCTTATTTGTATGTGACACTTGTGGAAAAAGTTATAAACACAAGAAAAACCTGTTGAGACACAAAAACTACGAGTGCATTTCTACAACACCAAAATTTCAGTGTTCTTTGTGTCCTTACAATGCCAGACGAAACGAACACCTGAAACTGCACACCATACTCAAACATTCTGATGTGACTTTTTCATGTTAATGTTGACCTACAGAGATTTTTATGTTACCTAGGTATATTGTACCATTTACATTATCTGTTATTTTAAGTTAACTTAACAAATATAATTGTAATAAAAATTTTTCTTGTCAGCATTTACTACTATTTGTTTTAAGAAAACAATGAGGAGTCACACCTTGTATAATCATTTTATTTTGTTAACTCTTAATTTGTAAGATCAAGATGAAAAAAAAATAAAATCAATATACTTTTGGTAAATATATCACAAACCAAGTTATTATTAAGTTGGTTTATAAATTAAAATTAATCTTAAACCTCATTTGAAAAAGGTTGGATTAAGAAATTAATTTGATTATTGGCCATCTAAACCATTTTTTAATTGCCAATAAAAAAAGATTATCTAAAACAGTACTACTGGAATTGCTAAAAATTGCACAAGGAAAACAAGATTTGTCCAATAAACAATTTTTATTTTTTTTTACCTTTCTCAAAACTTAACTACATCTTGTCATGTACCTATCAAAATTCTCATTATTGTTAATACTGTTAATACAGTTAATACTGTTAATACAGTTAATACTGTTAATACAGTTAATACTGTTAATACAGTTAATACTGTTAATACAGTTAATACTGTTCTATGAAATATACTTTGTCTAAGACCAATCCGATTGGCTTTGGTAATTAACGCTCTTGTGAGATTTTGGTATGGTTAGATTATAAATTATTTAGTTTCCAAATTGGATAGCTTACACAAACAAAAGTTATAATCTTTTTAAGGGGATAAAAAAAGTTTTTGTTATTTATTTGTTTATAGCAAGTAATGTTTATCTTGTAAAATGTTTGTAATATATATTAAAATATTGGTTTCTATTTTCTGTATTACTTTATTATACTCCGTTCACAAAATTTAGTTGGTTTGAGGGGAAGTTCCCCCACCACTTATTTTTCATTTAAGTACATGTTTCAGCTGATTCATGTTTTGGCAAACCTCAGCTGTTGAGCTATTGTTTTAAAGGTAGGATCAAGTGGAGGGGGATAGATTTTTCCCCTAAAACATCCAGAATTTTGTGAACAGATGAGTTAAACTTTTACAATAAAGGTCTATTTGTTTTCTAAATGTAAACAAAACTAAGCCTTAGTGTATTTTTTAGTAAGATAATACATTTATGATTAAATCCTTCAAATATAAAAGAAATGAGTACACTTTCAAGGCTAACTGACATTATTTTACAGGACAAGCTGAACAGTTCAGATGTGAAACTTGCGGGAAGAGCTACAAATACAGAAGTACTCTTAAGAGACATGTTCAGAACGAGTGTAACGTGGAGCCGAAGTTCCAATGTGCCCTCTGCCCATTCAAAACCAAGCAGCACTCGTCCTTCAAATTCCATACAATCAGCAAACATTCAGACGCTCTAAGTTAACTGTTTGAGTATTTTCATGTATGCAAAAGGCAAAAATTACTTGCATTCTTGTATGCACATACAAAGCATATATCTTCAAGCTTTTCTGCCACCATGTGTTTTGACAAAACTTACTACTATATTGTTTTTGTTTTTACCTTCAATTAGTCACTACACTTTTTTTGTTTTTCCTCAGTTTTATACCATAGGGACCTATTATTTTATTTGTTAGAAAAAGATTTTTCCTTTTGCATTAACTGAGATTTTAATTTTTGCAAGGTATCTTGTGTTACTTTTTAGTGTTGGGAGTTAAAATGTAATTTCCAAAACATTTTTCTTTGGCATACACTGTTGATTTCATGTCAATATATTGTGTTTGGACTTAATTGTTACTTATAGTCCATTGTTTTATCAGACCTACAAATGAACGTATAGATATTTTTCTGTTTACTTCAGGGTTCAATCACACTGTCCACATAAACTTATAAAAAACCGCAAAGTTTTTTAACAGTCCTTTAAATTAAAATTATAACAACTTTGTATTACTTTGTTACTTAATATAGTAACCTGATTTACAAATAAATTGTTTTGACAAAATCTATAAATATTTGCATGTTTAACATCCTTCCTGTTTATCTTCTATTTTTTGATGTTACCGTAAGTTGAAAATAACGCTTGCAACGTAAAAATGGATCGATAGTGTAAGCGCACTATGACAAATAATGTTTGTTTGTTACTGTACACCATAGGTCAGTATAGTAAGCTTTGTGGTGTGCAAAGACTTGAAGAATTTTGTTCATTCCATAAATAATCTTCATGCAAAAGCGATTACCTAAAAAAGTTTATTATGAATTTAAAGTCTGTGTATAAACCTCATTGATTAAAACCATTGACTTTTATACAGTATAACAGGGTATATATTTCATCTACAAGAATCAGCTGATGCCAATTTTATATTCAAGGTTGAATAACTCTCCCAGAGTAAACCTCTGCCAAAATTTATTATCTCTTTGCTTAATAATCGTAACACGTTCACGGCTAAGACCATTTTCCCGAACCCCATTCCCCATCCTAGTTACCGTGGTGGCCGCTGCCGCACCCTTAGCAACACCGTCCAAGAGAGCCTACGCAAACATGATGTACAAAGTACTAATGACTAGTGCTGGCGTAAGTTGCAACGTTCTAGCTCTTATCCCGTAGCAGTAATATGACATTAAAACATGCACTGCTATATGGCAGAAAGCGTCCATCAGGATGGCCATTGAATACTCCCGTGGCTGCAAATTCGTCCGAGTAGCAGTGAACGTGTTAAGCCGAGTTTTCCTTAAAGTGCGGAAGCGGAACAGAAATCAAATAATCAGCAGCAGCCCTAGTGGTTCAAATTTACTAATGCTCATTTCTAGCATAAGCAACTACCTATGGGATTACAATGGCTAGATCTATTCACAAAAAATATTAAACTAAAAGTGGTTTGTTGTATTGTGTTTATTACAATATTACATTGTTTTCACTATGTATTTGTAATTTTTTCTCATGAAGACAAAGGAAACATCAATCAGGTAAATTTCAACAAGTCTTAGAGCAATTTTAGTATTTTAGTACTGCTCTATAGTCTGTATGATGGAACCTGTCTCCTAATCGTCCATCTAACTGGGGACTAGCCGATGGTTTGTGGCCCATGCTAGTCCCAGTCCCAGGTAAATGGAGGGTTATTAGACAGGTTCTGTCTTACAAACTATAGTATTTAAGTAACTGCTTAGCTTTTCATAGTAGTTGCTTTTCATAAAGCTAGACTAATCCATCAGATAAAACTTTCTGCTTTCCATAAAAAAAACATGATTTTGCACAGATGCCAGAATTGTAACTTTTCTTTTACATAAGATGTTTACAGTAGACTCCCTCTTATCTGGACACCTTTTAACCGGACATTGGTTCACCTGGACTACACTCGGCGGAAATTACATCTCTTTACCCGGACATTTTTTATCAGCACATTGTTTTAACCGGACTAGATTGGCAGGAAATGGGCGGTACTGAAACAACAGTTCTCGTAGGAAAGATTAGAGACCAGTGATCACATGTCTAAATAAGTAAAATTCATTATCGGCTTATACAGTATGCATTTAAATGCTCCGTTTTACCGAATTTTGGGGGATGTTGGTTTAACCGAAAAACCCGTTATCAGGACTGGCCTCGGTCCTGAGGAGTCCGGGTAAGAGGGAGTCTACTGTACTTTAATTCTTCAAATATAAATAAAAATGTCTATAGTTGAGTTGGTTACAAAAGCCAAATTTTCATTATACAGTATTTACCATGATCCAAATAAGTTAAATATATGAAAATGATGTCATATATTTTCAATTACAGAATATATTAGTTCTATTTTCTCTCTTAGTTTTTGTATATTCTTATTTTTACTCATTTAATTCATTCTAGCAGATTGTAGATATCTGAAGCATTCAACATTTACCAAATCTAATTATTCAAAGTTTGCTGTAGTTAGATATACAATCGATACTTTGCACAAAGACTCAATAGTAGCCTATAGTAATTTGCAAAACAAAACTCACAAATTTTTTTCTAAATAATTTTTTGAATCCAATTTCTTAGTTTGTTCTACATTTCATTAGTAGTATTTTTCAGTGGGCAGGGAGCTAATGGGTTGCACGCTAAACATAGGTTAATAAACTCTAATTCACACTTTCACTGATGCACCTCATTTTAGAAGTTGTAGTACAATCAAATTTCAGTGTGGTTTAATCTAATCTTTTTACTCATTTGTAGAGACTGATGAAGTTTTAAGAGTTGCCAAAAGCATAAAAATATGGTACTTTTATCTGTGGTCACTAAATTTTGATGGTTCAAATCTGACTTGGTATTAAGTATCTTGATTTTTTTAAGGAAACAAACCTCACATCTATCAAAACTGGGTTTACTTCTTTAAATAAAAAACTTAATTTGAGAATAGTAGAGTATTTTCTTGAAACAATAATATTAATCATTGTACCTTAGGACAAATTAAATATTTAAAAATAAATCTGACTGAACTTTTTAGAAATAATTGAATAGTTATGATTGGCAAACTGACCATGGTAACTTAGTGGTACAATCTTAGGCTGGTAAACCAACTGGTTCGATACCAGTCTACACTATATTTTCACTGCAATCACTTCTAGCTTGTTCATTTCACTTCCGTCTTTGAAATTCTTCACTGGCATTCAGCACAGCCTGGTAGTTCTACGGAGTTTGGGAATTTTTTTAATTTTTTAATCCCTTAAAAATTTGTTCTCATTTTTTCCTTATATTGTACAACTACAAGTTTTATTCTTGTTCCAAATCTCCCAACTGGTTTATTTTCCAATTCTACAGTTCCTAGCTGGTCCACGTTCCAGTTCCAAAAATCTGGACTGATTTATGCCTTGGTCCAAAAGAAAGTTAAAAGCAATTTTTCCATTTCTAAATGTTCCAAGCTGGATTATGCTCCAATTCCAAAGTTCCCAGCGGTTTTTTTAAATTCCAAATGTTCCAAGCTGTTGTATGTTCCAATTCCAATGTTCGAAACTGGTTAAAGTTTCAATTCCGGAATTCCAAGTTAGTTTATGTTCCAGGTCAATTCCCCTGTGATCTGTGTGGACGCTTTTACAAATACAAGCACAATCTGCATCGTCACAAGAAGTATGAGTGCAGCCAAGAACCCAAGTTCTGGTGTACCTTCTGTCCTTATAAAGCCAAGCAGAGGACTTCGCTTCAAAGTCATTTGGTTCATAGACATTCACAACCTATGTGACTTTTGTTGATTTATTCTAGGATTAAAGTTGCTTAACCCTTTAAGCTCCAAAATTAGACGTATGAAATGTAAATTTCTACTTACATGTCTAACAAAATAAAACCAACTAAAATCCATACCGGTACTTCACATGTGCTGTAGCCTGGGCAGTGGTGGCCTCAGGATTTAATTTGGAGGGGGGAACGCCCCCCCTCCTACCCGGTGAAATGTATTTCCTAAAACCTTCTGGCCTAAATAGGGGTATGTATACCCTGATATTTCAGGGAAACGTAAAATAAACAATGTGAACAGCTCGGTTGGAAGTGGAATAGATAGTTAGATTCTGAGTTGCACCTCAATTCAGGCATTTTGCTATGTTTTACCCATCCTAGCTGTGATTGTATCATTTAAAACCCTTTTTTATAATTATCTAGTTTTTCCTACTCAAAAGGTAGGAGAAAACATTATTAAATAACTTATGTAGGCCTGTGCTTGAACCTAACATTAATTCAATACAGTTGTATAATTCTGAGTAATTGGTATGTTGCGAACAGTTGTTGGTAAAATTGGTTCTTTGAGACAAAGAAAAACTCAACAGCTCCTTTTCCATCATTAGTTCTGAAATGTCCCTCCAAGAGCTGTTTTAGTACCAATACCCAAACAATTCTCTTTTACAGTAGCTGACCGGAGACCAAAATTGTATTAAGTTCACTATTCATTTTTTCTCTTCATTCAAATATTCAGAACTATGGAATATGGACTATCCAGACGTTGTAGAATTTATTTTTTAAATGGAGATGGTTGAGTTTATAGTGGTACATGTAAAAAGAGAACCCGTTAAAATAGCCCTTAGTCTTTAATTTTGTAACTCAATTTTTGTAGGTGTTCAACTTATTTAATTTTAATAATGCTATGGTACATACGAACAGTTTTTATGAGGCGCTAGGCTTTATAAAAATGCACTTTAGAAATGTACTTTAATCATTATATTAAGTCCAAAAAGGTGCTGTGTCTTGAATTTTTAAAATGTTAACATAAACTAATAATAAGAATGACTATATTTTTGCTGTAAGAGCACGTTACTTGCTTATCTCATTGATGCTTTTAAATTAAAGAATATTTATTTATGTGGGGTATGTCTATTTCCTCCTCTCCCATAGAATAATCTATTGGTATTACTTGAAATGTTTTTTAATAATTACTAAGTAATCAGAATGAGTTACTCTGTAAAAGCAGAATTATTTCTGGACAATGTTACAAATTGTTACATTCTGTGGGGCTCTGAGTGTGTGGGAAATTCAATGGTCTGATTCAAATATTAAGTTTCTATAATAACTTTCTGCCTACTTCTAAAAAACTTTTAAATTATCACTTGGTGAAGTGTGAAAAATAGAGTAGTATTAATTGTTTGTATTTTTGTCTTTACATACTCCATTCACAAAACTTAGGGGGTTTGAGGGGGGGGGCGATTCCATCCCTTCCACCTCACCCTATTTTTGAACAACAAACTTTGAAACAACAGCTGACAGCTTATCAGGTGATATATACATTAAGCTAAAAAAAGTGACGGGGGATCAAGGAAACTTTCCCCTTAAACCGGCTGACGGACTTTAGAAGAACATCAGTATTATCTTTGACTAAGGATCTAATAGTCAAAGGTAATTTGTAAATTCATTAAAGACACATGATACACGTTTTCAAAGGCTGATAATCAAAATATCAAAATGGTGTAAAAATAATCATTAATAATTTCTAGTATTTTCAGTGAAGGTGATAATGAATGAGTAATGGAGTGACTTTACTTCTGTAGAAATTAAAATGGTTGAATAATTCCAATATTATAGTTTTCAAATAGTTTGTAAAATAATTTTACATCTTTTCATTTTTTAGGACCTGAAGCAGGAAAGTTTGTCCTTCACTGTCCTCGTTGCGGGAAAGGATACAAGTGGAAGACAAATTTGACTCGGCATTTGAATCTGGAGTGTGGACAAGAACCAAAATTCCAATGCAACATCTGTTCTCATAAGACTAAACATAAGGGATCGCTCAAGAAACATATGATGTTGGTGCACGGGGTGATGGGAGATTAATTATGGGTTGAGTTTAAGCAACAACTGTTTATATTCAAGTATGTAAAATTTATTTTCTGATTGTAATTCTTGTTACCAAAAACAGTATTTTTTGCCTTTTTCAATTTAAGTTATAAAATAGATCTATTTTGTTTGTTTTGGGGGTTTCTCTGTGTTAGCTTTGACTTTTGATACAATCAGTATCCAACAATCATTGGTGTTACCATAAATTTGTTTATGACTTCTAATTTTTTTTATTTATAACCTGGTTCTGACAGTATAAACCTATCAGAGACCACTTGTACTTGTCGTTACGATGAAGAGTTATCTAGTCTGTAATGTTAAACCTGGATATTGTAATGACTCAAAATTCAATGTTTATAATTATAGTCCTTATTTAAATTCCAAACTCAATCTTGTTATATTTTCAATATTTATTCATATTTATTGTTAACTATTAAAACCATATTGTCTCAACATATATATAATTCATAATCAAAATTTATTCATTGGCTTATCCAAAATTATTATTCAAAACAATTCCTCCATTTAAAATACAGTGCATCTGGGGTCAAGATTACAAGTAAATTTCAACCATGTTTTTATTTATGTGAACCCCATAACTTGAAATGATTTACAACAATGAGACTGACAGTGCAGTAAAAGTATCCAAGAAGAACACACAGAATCTATAAACTTAATTGTGAAAATAATTGTGAAACTATAATAGAAAGTATTGTCAAAATTTCCAAATTTATCTGAAGAAAGAAGAATTATTTAGGCCTACATTAATAAGAAGAAAATTATTATTACAGAAGATTGGTGAGAACATTCCATTTTAATAACTCAGACTATAGACTCCTCAAGCATCCATTTGGACCCAACTTACCTCCATTCATCAAAATCAAAATCCTTCCCATTTATTGTTTTTAAAAGATTATTAGATTTATAACTTACCGTACTTGTTGAAAATTTAAATTAGGCATCAACGAAATCTTTTGATTCAGCCAGCACGAATCCCCACCCCTGAACAATTTTTGTAACCTTATTTTAACCATTTATGTACCATTAAACCTTGTACTTTAAAACCTCTGTCCTCGTAATTATTATTGTTTAAACTATGATAAGATTAGAATACAAACCATATTTAAGGGTTTATTTCAATATACATACTGTATTGATAAGTGAGAATATTTGTGAACACCACTACCTCTTACCTACAAGACAAATTACTAATCACTAATTAATTCATACTGTTCAGTAATGGCAAAACCAGTAAGCTATCCTGTAAGGCTTAGAAATCCAACTTAATCTGTACCTATTTCTAACAAAAAAAGCTAAAAACATATTCACACTCAAAAAGCATGACCAATCAATCTGTATTAATTGAAATATATTTAATCAATCAATACACAATATCGGTTTTTGGTTACCATTATGCTAGATGTAAGAATTTAAAGATGCTAAACAATAAGTTGCCTTTTCAGTTAGGTTGAATAATTGGTATATAGAAGTAAGGTACAGAGGAATCTTGCTTATGATATGACAGTGTGCTTTCAGCTCTAGTATGTTATGGAGGAAATAAACCTATGACAAGCAAGGAAGAGCCTGAGTGACAGGCACTGTGCGGAAATTCCTATCGCACAGGGCACAGGGTCTTCCTCCACCTTGAGTGTTGCAGTACATCAGGGCGAGGGAGTGGTGTTGGACTTTGCCCTAGGCACCGGCGACTGGTGCTAGACACCACTGGAGTGTACCGATGAATGTTTCCTCTGTACCTTGCTTCTCTGTGGCATACTTGTCAGTAATCAGTGATTTACACACTTTTTTTGTAGCTCTCCAGTTCAAAATTGGCTAGATCAATCATAGGAATGGAATATTTAGTTCAATTTATTAATTTATTTATTTAGATCTTATGAACCCAAATAAAACCACTCCCAATAATATATATATAGGCACATATGCACATGTGATGTATGCCTAATCACCTAATCATTCTGTTTTTCATACAGCTCTACATATCTGTGACAACTGTGGCAAACAATACAAGTGGGATACAAGTCTTATGAGACACAAACGTCTGGAGTGTGGCAAAAGTCCGCAGTTTGCTTGTCACATCTGCGACTACAAGACTAAACACAACAATTCACTCAAGAAACATCTCGCAGTCAGACATCAAGTGTTGGGCCGCTAATGCTTGATGTACAATGTTTTGAATGTAATATTTGACAATTTTATGTACTTAAAATAAATACCCTCGCGGGAGCGAACCTAAGCAAATTTCTATTCACCTGATTCTTAAAGATTGAACCAGATGGAATTGAAACAGCTGTTCCGATGTAGGATGGCTTCTTTTCATATCTTCTGCTGTGATTGGTAAGTTGAAATCATAGGTGAGTGTGGTGATGGTGAATATCCTTGTTCCGTGGTCACCTTTAAACAACAGCTGCGAGAGCCACTACTGTTCTATATGAGAAAAAAATATTAATAAACCTTGTTCTGATTTCAAATCAGTGAAAAGGTGAATTTGACATTTTTTGACAGGATCCCCACTATAGAAAACCCATAAAAATCCTGCAAAAGTACATCTTGAAACATGGTGTAACCCTTTTATTACAACCTTTATTTTTATTCACAGAACAGAATAGGGAGCTTAGATTGCTTGGACCTTAAAGTTGACTCGACGTGTCATCTTTTGTCAAAAACAGAAGTTCAAGGCAATGACGAAGCTAATGATGACCGTACACCTAGAAGTTCAGGAAAAAATAAAAAAGGCAGAAGGAAGACGCCATTGTGATGCTCTTCGAACCTCTCACTCGTCCGGACATTTTCCGGAGTTGACTGAGAACGGGAAGCTTTATCGGTGTCGACATCCAGCTTGTGATTCGCCAAAATGTAGATTTAAATGTTCTACATGTAATGTCTATCTGTGCCTAAATGCAAACAGAAACTGTTTTAAATTGTTCCATGAACTTTAATTCCATACATGTAAAAACAGCACACTGAAGACATTAATTGAAGTCTAATATGTATCCTGTAGGTAATATGCTTTTTCATGTAGATATTTAAAGTTAAAAAAAAAATCTCGACTAATATATTATTTAAGGTTTTTCAACAAAAAATCTGAAATCGATCAAATAAATTAACCCATGGGTGATACATAATTCAAATCTTTATAATTTGTAATGTCCAGAAATATTTAAAAATTTTAAATTATTCTCAACAAATTTCTAGATAATATTTAATGCTTAGTATCGACTATTCAACACTCATTAGACCTGTGACACACACACACACATAATTTGGTCTTAATATTGTGACACGACTTACTATAGAATTAATTAAACTAGTCATTCATGCACACAACTCAAGTCTTATAGCCATGTGACAGCAGTGGTGAGTGTGTGACTAAATAGCAGTGATCTTACTTTTTTCTTAATTTTTGAGGCATCAGAGGAAGAGACATTGTTTCTTCTGCTTCCGGTTTTAGGTTAAAAACTAACAGGGAAATTCACTAGGAAGGATAAATGTGCATACAAACTTATTGTTGAACTTACTGTTAAAACTTATTGTTGAATTGTCATTGGCACTTCAATGGCGGTTGTGTAAGGAAACCTTGTTTGTTGGTTTGTTAGCTATTGGCGACGATCATTAATAAATTCAAGTTTCCCAGCCCTATACAACACTGATTCAAGGTCTTCTTTCTGGTTATCAAAACTCAAGAACAATTGTATACACACAAAGAATCTTTTGTTCCTGACCTGGATGATGCCTAGTCATTTAATTTCATTTGCGGTTACACTATTATTGCACTTGCGATTAATTAAATCCGTTATGTAAGAAAAATGTTTTAAATCTCACTTGGTTGGGATTTCCTTCAAAACATGATCGGAAATGGTTGCGGTATTTGTAAACAACATTTGTAAACATATAAATGACAGCTAAAAAAATAATCTTGATCCGAACAGCTGTTCGTTATTTCATAGATGATTTTGTGATAAAAATTGGACGAAAACTTGACAAAAATCGCACAAAACTGCATTTTTGAATGTCCGTAATTTTATTTTCAAAGTAGTGAGACCATATTTTAATGGCTAAAGACACTCTCGCCAATCCAGTGAATACATTAAAATGACTTGGATCTTGATAGGTACTCTCGTTTTCCTGGAGAAGATTGCGTACAATGCCATCTTGAGTGTTATAGACAGACAGAAAGACAGAAATAGAGATAAGACTCGTTTCTGCTTTTTTAATGTATAAAACATAAAAATAACCTAAAAATATATAATTCTGAGCAATGTACAGACAAAACTCTAATTTTATTTATATAGATGAAGAGAAACACTAAGTGGCATTTTACTAGTGTAACATTCCTTGATTTCAAGAGTTACAGGAAAATGTTATTTAAAGAAAGTATGAGTCTCCCTATCGACATTTAGGTTATCCTGCGTACACTGTGGGGGGAGGCTTCACTTTCCACAGAATTTCATTATCTAGATGGAAAGTTTAAGATATAAAAGTTTCTCTTACTTTGTACCTTTAACATACAATGAGCTACCTGAGAGCTTAAAATCAATCAGTTACAAACATACAATATTCAGAATAATTGTTTTTTTTATTCTTAAAAAATAATGATTAAGTGTAATAGTTTCTCAAAACATGTAAGATTGAGGTGTATCTATCTATAGTAAATTTGTGGACTAATCTATTTGGATATTGTTCTGCAGGGGGAGAGGTATTCAAGTGTGATAGTTGTTCCCGCAGCTATCGTTGGGTGAAGAGTCTGCTTCGTCACAAGAGGTTAGAGTGCGGCAAACTTCCGCAGTTCGGCTGCGACTTCTGCGACTACAGAACAAAACACAGAAGTTCACTGATCAAACATACTGCACTCAAGCATGGGATGCTTCAGAAAAATTGACCAATGTTTTCTGTTCAATTTTGTTTATTTTGAAATTGTATTTGTCTAACAAATAAAAATATTGTAAATATTTGTTGTTGTTCTCCCTTAATAAACAGTCAATGATTTTCGAAGTTAAATAATGTCAATTAAAATGATTATTTTGGTTTTTAAAAATTACATTTTTTACAATACTGTAATATCATTGACTTTGGATAATGAGGTTAACTTTGAATTTAAAAACCCAGATTGGGCTCGTTTTTATTCAAATAGAACAGAGAAGACTAGGCTTAAGAAAAATACATAATTTTACAGCATCCATTCTGTTAGTGGCCCAGTTGTGATTTAGAGTTTATTTTTATTCTAATAGGTACAACTTCAACATAGAACGCATGCTTCATCGTAATATACTTATACTTTTTTTAATACTTTTTGATATATCTATAGACAGCTACAGAGTATCGTATTACTTCAGTCTGTCTCACCCTATTTCCCTTTAAGTTATTTAACTACTAAAATCTTTCTCAATTTTTAGGTCTTCATACCTGTCCCAAATGTGGTCATAGTTACCAACGCAAAAGCTCACTGTTGAGACATATAAATTATGAGTGTGGCAATCCTGGCTACTTCCAGTGTCCTCATTGCTACCAACGTTCCAAACACAAAAGCAACCTACTGAAGCACATAAGAAGGAGGCATAAAAATGAAAAAGAAGTACTTGTGATTTCTCAGTCTTAAAATCACTAGTTGTCTTTGTTTGTCTTTTTATTTTGTCAAAAACAAATTTTCTGGAAGTAATGTTTTGAGGTTATGAAACGTGCTACCTTGATGTAAACAAGGTTCTGCAATCTTTAATAAATTTTTATATCATATTGAATTGTATTTTTTAATTACTCCTAGGTTTAATTTAGTGTCCCCCACTGAATTGTATTTCCTTATTAAACTCCTGGGTTATTTAGTGCCCCCCCCCCCATTTGCTCCGGTTATCCTTCCCTACTTTGGACACTAAAGTTGACACATTATCTATATAGAGGTAGCACATTAGTTATTCAAATGATTCATAATTGAATAAGCCATTCACAAAAAGTGCTACTATAAAAGTTATATTTTCTCCCTTCTTTTTTGATACAGTACTATGGTAGTTCAAGTGGCATTAAAGATGCCATACCTTACATTATGTTGTCCTTTTTATTTGGATTGGTTTAAGTTTGTAGACCTATAACAGAAATCGGTAATCTAATTGCAGCTCACTTTGTCAGTAGGCCTAGTTACATTCAATTGAATAAATGTGGAATCTAAAACTGGCTAAAACTTTACTAAGCACTTAATAAACTACCTAATAATCTTTATTGTAGACCTTGGACTCCCCCACCCCTCCTTCACAGTAAAATTAATAAATTATAATGAGTTTGAGGTAAAATATTAATGGTCTTTATGGCAATAAAAATATTTTTTCCTACAGTCACCCGACAAATTTGGCTTCCTTGTACTGTTTATAGTATAGAAAGCTGCTAATTGCTGCATATTTATACTTTGTCATACGGTTTATACTTTTTCGTACGGTTTACACTTTGTCGTACGGTTTATACTTTGGCGCACATCAGGATTTCAACGAAACAACACAAAACAGTGTGGTTCTATTCTGCACGTAATCCGTGTATGCTTGGAAATAGGTTGGCAACACTTAAAGATAATAATACTATGAGCAGCTGATTGACTATTATAACTACGATTTACCTCTTCATTTCGTGTTTATAGTTTTGGTATTTCTGAACTTTCTGGACCTTTCTTTTAAACGTTTTTAAAACATTCCTACGATCTTAATAAACAAGAAAATACCTTTAAAGCATTTTTTTAGATGCGGAAACCACTTCAAATTACAAAAACATAAGGAACTATTTTCTCAAGTCGCAGAGCTCATTGCTTGCCAAGGAAAAAATAGCGGAGTGATACGGACCGGTGACTACTTTCTCTAGGGCACCTATTTGTGTTGCCAGCTGAACCTAAAAACGTGTTGTATAGTGTGTTTGAAAGACTAATTATTTATATGCTTTATATAGTGACTGTAGGAAAAATATAATGTGTAACACGAGTGCAAAAGGCCTTTGCTGCACTCGAGATCATTCCGCGCTCTCGTGGGCAGCAAAGTGCCACTTTGCTCACTAGTTACACAATAACTAATTTTTACCTTTTTTAGTATTTTACTTTACACTGGCTTTCAGCTGATTGAAACAAATCAGATTCATTTATAAAAGTGATCATAGTTTAGCAATGCCATTGATTTTTAAAATTCTATAATCAATGCTTGAATTGTTTTTTTTTTTTGTTTTTTTGTATGATTTTGAAGGACTGTTTTTGTTCATCCTACAACTACAACCATTGGGAAAATAAGTTTCAGGCAAATTAACTGTGTCCCATTTGAAATGACAGAGTTTTACTTTTCGATTGCAGCAATGAATACTCGATGGACTGTTTCCTCTGCTCACGTTCATTGTTGCCAAGATTGTGGGAGGAAATACACTCAGAAGAAGAACCTGCATCGCCACCGCATGTTGGAGTGTGGAAAAGAAGCTTCACTGCAATGCCCAATTTGTGGTTACCGATCCAAACACAAACATAACCTCCAACGGCACATTCACATCAAGCATGCCACAGCGTTACAGGAATTGGAATGTGACTTTATAATCAAATAAATTAGTTGCCAAATATATTATTTACTAGGCCTATTAATCATTCCTATTCACCTTTTCATCTCACATATCTTATCGTGATTGAAACTAAAATTTTTCATCGTTCTTTGTTTACAGACGTTGTTAAATTGAAATATTTTTATTTGGATATAATAATTCCGAAATATATTTTTAAAACCCTCATAAAGTGATTTCCATGTGTTGTGTATCAGTTGATTTTAGTGTTAACTTTAAAAGCCCAGGAGTTCCATTTGTGTGTGCGATGTATTCAGGAAAGCAAATAATAAATATGTCGAATTACTCTTAAAATATAAAATTGTTTACACTTATACTGACTCACAAGACAGTAAATAAACATGAAAGATTGTAACGTGGTGATCGATTACGATTGGACACTCCTATCATCATAAGACCCAATAGGCGAATGATTGTCGAAATGCTATTCGGGAACTTGTCAGTATTGAGACTACAAGTCACATTACAAAAACCACCTGAAATCTAATTTGTTCTCACATTCACATGTTTACACTCACATGTAAAAAACTAAGGTGTATGAAAATTGAATGGTTTTTCTATAACTCGTTAAACTTCTGTAATATCGGTTAATCTATTTAGAATTGAACTGACAAACTTAATTTTTCTGAATAAGACGGCTAGTGTTGTTATGGGTAACAACATTATAAGGTGAATAGATTAGCAATCTTAGAATAATTAGCCAATGCCAAACATTACGGTATGAAATGTATAGGGAAGTTAGCAAACCAATATAAAATAATTTCTGTTAAATATAATTTAAATTATAATTACGAGTGAATAATGAGTTATTTCAGAGAATACAAAATTAGAAATGAAATTTAAAATAAAAGAATACTAATTTTTACATTTTTCTTGTTCAGGATCTTTGGTAAGTCTGGAGAATGAAGCATCTCCGCAGCGCTTCACTTGCAATGCCTGTGGAAAGAGCTACCTTCGTGAACGGACACTCACAAGACACACACGTTACGAGTGTGGGGGAAAAACTCCGAGGTTCAGTTGTCAGTATTGCGACTACAGGACACACTACAAAAACCACCTGAAAACTCATGTTTTCTCAAAGCATGGGGTTTATTTGTGAGCAGCAGGTAAATTATACACTTGACTTGAATTATTTCTAAAATCCTGTAATAAGATCTTTAAGCCTGTTTGTATATGTTTCTCATTGATTACGTTTGAAGCTAAGTTAGATTTTTTTACTTGATTTTTTTTAATTTAATTATTAAGTAGGTAATATTAATTTACTCTGGAATTATATCTATAAAAAAAATAAGTGCACATTGTATAATCTGCCCTGAAATGAAAATTGAACCCTACTCGATATTAGTCTACTCCATGGTGGAAGAAAATAGAAATTAGAAATGTATAAAAACCAAACTAGCTTCAGATTATAATAATGATAGAATTAAAATGTATATTTTTTCAGAATCCCAAGCGAAATTCCCCCTCGGTACAACCGTACTACTCTATGTCAAATAACTCCCGCCTTTTCGCCAGCAAGGCGTCAAATTTAATACTCAAGACTCAAATACAAATAGTCGTCGCGTCGTCTGCAAAGTTCAAAAACGTCAGTCAGAATAATTCAGAAACGTCCCTTCCCTCCCTTCCTTTAAGTGTAATTTGTATACTTCATTAAAATGTTGTTGTTTGGTTATGTTTTTATTTAAATCGTAGTACCTAAGCTTTAAACAACGAATATGACAATATTAGTGAAAATGTAAGTAGCAATTTTAAGTTTTCAAGGCATCTTAACATAACCTCTAAATCCAACTTGTAGTAAATTACAACAAACAGCTTTACAGTACCGGTAGCCTATTTACTTAATCTATTATTACTGTATTTTATTTCTTGTTAAGTACCTAACGAAACATCTGAATTTTAACTATCTGTAGGCCTATGGATCAATAGTATTACTATTGCAAGCATGGTATGTTCGATTACTACTTAACTTAAATCAAATTTAACATTTTATTTATAAAACTTGCTTATCCATGTACAGTAAGTTATTAAGCCCCTGCATTGCTATTAGGCTACTTCACCGTTAATAATCTAGTGTTTATTAATGGACCTTCGCAAAACTATATAAGTTATCAATGCAAAATGTAATGAACAGTCATACAAACAAAATCACTCAATGAGTCAAGTCTAACTAACTTAAACATCTTATTTAGGTACCACACCTTCCTTGTTAGCAAATTTCCATTAGTTTCATGACATATAGTTATAATTTAAAGCTTTAGCCTGAAACGGACAAACCTTTTTTTAATGACTCACAAAAACGCTAAGCTGCGGCTTGTAAAAATGCTAACCTAACTTAAGTTATGCCAGTTTCACTTTGGAATTAGTTGCCATTTTTGATGTAAAATACCCGGGTATTTAAAACTCGGGTTAAATACCCTGGGTATTTACCCGGGTAAATACCCAAAATCCATAAATACCCGGGTATTTTGGGTATTTATGAAATCGATTGAAATTCATTTATATTTACCCCTAAATATGTTATTGTTATTATTACATGATAAATTAGGATAGTCTATAACACCTTTTACAGTAACTTTAAGCTTTGCTAGTACCTTTTATTTAATGATTCATCACTTTTTTTAAAATATTACATTTAAAGTTTCTAAATAAGCATTTAGTTTTGTGTCTTAAATCGAATAACATCAGTTAAATTTTTTTTAACTTGCTAAAAGATAGTATATTAAAAAAGGCTGTGACTATTTCAATTGTTATCATTTTATAAATTTATAACCAATTAAATAACATTTAAACAAAATTATTTTAATTTATACATATCCAGGAATTGTTGGGTACCTATTTATGATGCAATAAAAACAGTTGAACTTGCCATGAATAGTTTTATTAACAATACATTATTGCGTAGGCCTATAACATTTTAGAATAGGCTACTCCAAATTCCTAAGGCCTGATTGACATAGGCAGAATACTAAAAGTAATTATAATTAAACTTTTCTGTGTTACCGCTTGGTTGGAAACAATAATATATTTGGATAAACCTACTAAAAAAATGTATCTCCTGTTTTTTGGCCTAACTTAATATAATTTTGAAAGATTTATTGTGCTACAGATTTAAATGTTTTGTATCACAAGTTTATGAAATTAGTTTTTTTTATTTTGATACCATTGATACTAACAAAAGATCTGGAACAAAAATATGATTAAATCCTGCCATACTACTGATTGATTTTTAATTATTTTCTTCTTAAAAGTTTGTTAACACATAGGCCACTACTAGGTTAAATTTTCCTGTCTTTCTAAATAATAATTATTACTTTACAAATTATTTTTCTTCGCTTTCAATAAAATAAATTCATCTCTCTATCATAGAAATTAAAAAATCATAAGTAGTCAGGGCCAGTGCAACCATGCGACCAGGGTATTTATGCCGATTATGCTTTATGCTGAGACCTGGGTATTTATGGCGATAATACCCATAAGTAAAATGCTAGTAGTGTCCATATGAAATGTTGTTTAACACATTTTATTATCATTTTACTATCCTTACAGGGTAATAATTGCAAAAAAACATCTCAATCTTTTCTAACTTTAATACAAATTATAAATACCCAGTTTTTGGGTATTTACCCGGGCCTGGGGTAAATACCCGGGTAAATACCAAATTTATATTTACCTACCCACTGGGTATTTACCCGGCCCACATCACTAGTTGCCATAGTGTTTTTGCCTTTATTAATCTCAGCCTTCTTTATGTCAGTTTTTATTAGATTCTGTAGGCTATCCAAGGAAAAGTAATATGGGTACACTTCCATATCTGTTGGCACAAACAACCGAATGAAAATATCGATCGATATACTGATTATTCGATATATCGTTTGGTTAGTTAGGTAAAGTTAACCTAACCTAACAAACCAAACGATATCTCAAATTAAACAATCGAATAATCAATATTACTCATTCGGTTGTTTTTGCCAAAAGATATGGAAGTGTACCCAGTAGGAGTAGGCCTACTATTAGGCTAGACCTATACCTAATATGAATATACACGATCCGTCTTATAATTTTTTAGGGACTCTAAACAAAGCAATCTTTGCTACATCGCCGCATTACTGTCCTAGGTTTGTAAACTTGAAATTTACCTGTCACTGGTCTTATCCGACCCGTTCTTTCTACACATTTAATAGAAACCTAACTTCAACAATTCATTGCTGCAATACCAGATCTTGTTGCAGATTTGATTTTCTATCAAATGCATTTGTTACATCCAAAGCTCATTGAAGTTAACCTAACTATCTTCAAGACTACTATCGCGATAAAGGCTGTGAGTCATTGTGCTTTGTAACCCAATGTCAAATCCAAAGATAGGCCTAACAGGTTTGTTTGTCTAGGCAAGAGGAGCCGCCGCAGTGGGGTGTGATCGAGCTACAAGGAGATGTAGAGTCCCGATACCAGACTGCTGTGGAGGACCAATTTGTGGGAGACCTGCATTTCACTATCCAGGTAGGCCTATTAGGTTGTTTAGGTCGAACTTTTCTGTTGTAGGCTACTACTGTACAGCAAGATGTTTTTCACATTGAAATGTTATAGGCCTAACTTAACTGTCCAAAGTTCCTGTTTAGGGTTAGGTTAGAACCGAGACTTAACCTAAAACTTCATGTTGGTATAACTGGAAAACACACTGGTTATCAATCAACGCACACTTAGGTAAAGCCAATTTTAAAAACACAGAAAAGAAATCGTCCATGTTCAGACTTGGCATCAGTATTTTCTCAAAAAGATCATCAAACCAAAAAAATTCCGAATTTGATAGCGAGATAGGTAAAACCCAAGCAATAATAATTCCAGGCATCAATAACTTGGAAAATCCCATGCTAAAACCTTTCCTGAGTAGTAATATCTTTACTACGTCATAATGAGAGATGTTACATGCAAATTAAATAAGCCTAATGGTGTAGTCTATGATGGAAAAAGTCCCTTAGCTCTTATTCAGATAAGAAACCATAACTTCAAACAAAATTAGAACTCTTTAAAACACTTACATTCCCTTGGGTTTTTATGGTTGACTATGTGTGCAAATGTTTGTTGAGTGAGAATCAATTTCCTGCATAGATCTGAGTCATATGCACGGGACTTTTATTTATACGCTATACAGTATTAGGGACTGTAATCCATGCTTGTACAAAATCGATAGTCTGTTAGACATCCTGAAAAAATCTTATTTGTTTTTACTTTCTCCCCCTATACAACTTGTGACACATAAGCTGGCACTTGTCGAACGCTACTAGCCTAGCTCAAAAACATTATGTGCTGTCTTTCGGGTTGTGTCAATTGTCCTCGCAACCCACGTGAAGGCCTCAAGTACACAAAACACAGGGCGTAGCGTTCCATGTGCTAGAGGAAATGTTTTCAGTCCGGTCTTTTCCTTACCTCCACCCTCCTCCTGACAACACTGCCCGCGCTAGGCCCAAGTGCCAGAGCTCAAGAGCTGTACATAGAAGGCTACATAGAAAAGTATTGTTTTCAAAATTTTTGACTTTGAGTTTTGGGAACAGAAAAGTTGTATTTCCATAAAAACGACTTGAACCATTTTGACAAAAATTTTAGTACGTTATGGCCCTTTTAACCATATACAAAATAGGACAAGCCCACAGTGCTGTAAATACAAAATCAAACCTTGATGCAACTTCTTTTAAGATTTTATCTATTTTATGAGTTACTCCCTCCGCTTACCTATTATGAAAACTGTTGACAAGCTAATGGGAGAAAGTATGTGTCAGTTTGCTGAAGGCACTGTTTATTTTTTCAAACAGTCACTAGGGAATAGGGATTCTTCATACCGGTTCCATCAGTTCTTGGACCTGAGTTCTGTGTCTTTGTCCGATTGTCAAGTCAAAGTATTTTTATAATTTTAATATTTGGGAGAAGAATCTTATTCTCATCCTGGTTTTAGACATAAAACCAAAGAAAAAACAGACATAGTGAACCTGCAATTACAGAGATTACAGATTAATCGCCTTTTATACCCTTTAAACTTACCAGGCATTTAACACACATATCAAAACATGCACAAAATTTTGCAAAAGGATGTTAAGCCTACTACAGTATCCTTAGTCAATGATAATTCTTCATGTGTTTGTGTTTGCAGGGAAACACCCCAGTTTTGATCATCGGCCATCACATTCTTTACGGAAAAGCTGTTACGTTGGAGAAGCCTTTCGCTGTTCTTGAAAAGTCATCCGACTCCAATTCCACAGAATATATTGTAAAAGCATTAGTCAAACAAAAACTATTATTCAAAACTAGACCTAAGCCTATAATCGCTAATGTGCCTAAGATTTTATAGCTTATGAAGTTTTGTATATATAATTGTGTAATTATTATATTATATTTGTAAATTATTTTTCTTTTAATTCTCTCCTGATCTGTCTCATTATGTCTTAAACAAGTTTTGGTTTTGATGTCTTAAGAAAGCATTGTCTTTAAAATGTTGGAAAATTTTCACACAAACAAGTGGAATAAAATCTATAAATGATATACCACTCAGCACTATATTTGCATTGAAGAACTATTTTTATTTTTTATTTCTATCGTAGTCGTAGTTCTACATAAGAAGTTCATGTAATTGCAGTAGGAACACATGGTTTGATTTTTCAAAAAACTGAATCTTAGATTTAAAGCTAATTGAGACTTTAGTGTCACTGAAAAGACTTCCTACTAAACACAACCTGTGAAGTAGACCTTTAATTCCTAATGTTAAAGTTCTGTAGCCGATTTAAGAAAATAAAAGAAATTAGTTCAATGGAGCCAAAAGTCGTATTGTTTTAAATATCATCTTTCTTGCAAACTAACTTAATATCATGCCAAACAAAAAGCAACATATTGTAAGCATATTTTATGTTCCTATGCACTATTAAGGTGTGAAAAACAAGGCTAGAACTATGAGAAATTTGGGTAGAAAATAGAGCCTCTTCCAACTAGATTATCTTTGAGTAAAAAACTAACTACATATATTCTTGTAGAACGGATGTCAAATTCAATATCATGCTCAAATTTGTTTTTATAGTAGGCCTAGTTAATGTTCTTCCATGTAAATTATGTGATTCTGATATTATCTTAATACAAAAACGTTTTACCATTGGTCATTGACGTTGAAAAACAATATATAGCAATTTAACAATTATCTATAGTACCAAACAAAGAGGAAAGAGAAGAGACAACAATAAATTGAAACTACATTTAATATATACATAATTGTGAAAGTTATTTACATTGCACATATTTATACAACTAAAGGTCTCTCAAATATACAATATGTACAAAAATAATAGGCTAAATAAATTAAATTTTAAATATTGCAAAAGAAAATCAGCTACTTAAAACAATTTATTTAATGTGGTTTGGTCACCACAGAAATGTTAATAAAGTAAACTTTCATAGTTAAATACAAGCCATTAGCATAAAATGCTACTTCAAAAACAAAAATTAAAAAGTATAGTAAGGCACTAGCAAGTGACCTATATAACAAAAAGAAAAAAATGTTGTTCCGGTTTTCCTTAAGTCCTTTTGATTATTTGGTCACTAAAGCTCAACATCAATTTATACTCGGCAAATAACACACAGGCAGTGTCTTTCATCGCTTAATTGATGGTTAAGCGAAAAAATTCTTCAAATGCTGGATTTTAAATGGGTATTATCATTAAATTTTGAAATGGAGCACCATTTAATATAAGCTGGAAATAAAATGCAAGATGATTATAGAATGGAGTGAGATATGTATAACTTTGTTAATTTGACTAAATTAAGCTGTTCTTATAGCCAAGACCATTTATTAGAAGCCCTATGATCTAGGATGGTCCCAATTTCAAACCATGAAAATGAAAACTCATGATTTTTCTCAGGATCGCACCGGCATCCTTTTGATTATCAGGTGAGCACCATAACCTCTCCCACTGATATTCCAAATTTTACAAGTTTTTCCTTATGTACAAACCGATATTTAACTCTCAAAGATCCACACCTACATTGATGACATGCCCTACATAGGACACACATCCAATCAACAAATGACTAGAGGATCGCAAAGGAAAACATATTAACTAACTTAAGGCTTAATACATAAACATATCAGTAAAACGAAAATAATAGGAGTAAAACAGCCTCAATAGTTTTAACTTAAACATATTGAATTTCATTCAATTTTGTATGAGTTTAAAAATGTCTATCACAAAATGAAACCGCAACATTCTGAAGTTTCACAAAACTAAACTACCTAACCTACAGTATTTACAAAACAGTCTTATTTTTAGTGATGTTTATCCATTTTAAAGTATTGCGTGTTTATGCTTACATTCATTTGAGATCACAGAAGACATCTGAGACAATTTGTAAACCCATCTTTACTGAAGAAAAAAACATTGATTCTTAATCCTTCTGATTCATTCTCACCTTATTGCTACGCCTTAACACAACACAATAAAGGCTTTTTTGCACATTAATTCATAAATCAATTATTAAAGTACTTGGAAAAAATTTGCAACACTAGGCTGCCATTTATCTATTCCATTGATACAGAACTAGACATCCCATGGACCAGCTGTCGCCAATTTTTTTACTAAAAAAGAACATGGTTGAGTGAGCGAATCACGGAATGCGCTGGTGTCTACAATTCTATTTTCTACCTCATTTTTTGTTGCTGGCATAGTTGAAGGGTCATGACAGTTTTAAATGAGATCGTTTCCATACCCAGATGCCATTTGCTATTAGGAAATGGATTAATTATGATCAAAAAGGTTACCAGACTAGGGTTTGGATCGTTCCCTTTCCAACCATAAAAAATGCCATTGGTGTAGAAAACGCAGAGAAAAAATGTGAGAGAAATTAGTAATTTACATCAGCACAATCTGTCAGTGGCTCACATCAACTACACTGATTTTGATAAAAAAAAACTGGCGACAATTTTAAGATGGTGATTGGTGATGTAATGTCTAGTAAACAAATTTGGAATCTGTTTTATATCAAGAACATACCAAGATTTGCACGAAAATCCTTGTTATTCGAAGATAACAAGCAATGCTATTGCTTAATTGCACTTTCATAATGTTTGTAAGTGGATATAAACACGCCCTATGAATCACATTATGGTTTCTTATGCTCCTTAATACAACAAAATTTAAATAGTAGTGAACAGTAGGCTTTTTTACTCTGGATAGTAAGGTAAGAATATCCAGCAAACCTGGCCTATAGCCATCTTTCCCAAGTAATAAAATTAGGGATGGATGGGTTACTCTGCATTTAATGACATTTTGTGGAAAACCATACATCCAATTTTCAGCAGGACTTTATCGAATGGGATTCATTCCAACTGGGTGCAATTTCACCAAGATCGAGAGGTGATTATGGTGGATATTGGTGATTTTGTCAGTAAGGCGGGTGACGATGATGATGCCAAAGAGCACTTATACTGTTCACATGTTCACTGCAATCGAGTGAGATGTTTAATAATAAAATTGATTTTGTTTTTCATTATTGACATGCCCAAGAATAAGAATATTTATTTGTACGGGAAGATTAATCCAATCCTGAATATCAGGAAATAAATCAAAATCCCGCACCTGTCTCGTCCCAAACTTAAGGTGCAATCCCGTCCATCCCTTGAGTACTATCATTACTTCAAGACAGTGGAACATACTCATCAAACCCAACACTGTCACTGTAGTTATGTGAATCCAATGAGAGGCTGGTCAGAGTCAGGTTCAGCAGGAATGGTGATGCCACCAGTGTCCTGCAGGTAGCAGGGTGAAGTGTCATCATCATCAGACCCAACGCCATCAGCTTCCTCGGGCGGAATTGATATTGTGATAGTTTGTCTCATACCTATAACAAATCATTTGTAGTTGCCTCTTGTTTCACAAACAAGATGTTCAGTAAAAAATTTTTCAACAAGAATGCATGATTTTTTTAAATTCTAAGCATTGGTCACACCTGTCAATGGACTCCAGAAGTTAGAAACTATAGTAGTGTGCAACTGCAAAGGATCATGTGACAAAGCGTGGTAGCATATGGCATTTAACAAATTAATTTTTAACTGCTTTAACTAACATAAAAAAGTAAATTCATAATAGCCAATCTACTATTGCACTACAGAAAAAGCCGACAGAAAGTGTGCCAGCTAATTAATGTCATTTTTGACTCTCGATTTTTAATTACTTTTCAAAGCATTCTTTAAGAAGGCTGAAAATTTCCAATTAGCCCAGCATATGTTTAGCCTTAGAGTTCACCCTGCAAATCGCACAAACTAAAATGATAAATGATTAGCAGGATATGAAGTCTGACTTCCGGAACAAAAGCTGCAGACAAAGTAAATTTGAATAAATATTTCCTAATCCTTCCTTTTCATTTTTACCAAAATTAGTTTTAAACTGTTTCTAGTAGTTTTGTTTAGTGATGGTAAATCTCTGAGTTAATATAGAGGTTGTCTATATCACAAATTAAAAATTCCAAATATTTAATTTACATATTTACCATCTCGAGAAGTAGAACTGGCCGTAATGTCGCAACGAGAAGCTCCAAACGAGCTGTAGACAAGAGAAGCAGCAGCCATGTTCTCAGGAAAAACATCACCTGAAAACATCAATTTAACATAATACCTCAGGCTTATACAGTCACTAACACAAACACTTCAAACTTGATCTTCTAATTCAACCGTATCATCGACAAAAACTTATTAGGTACTGATTGTCGATGTTTCAACCTCATTTAAGAGATCTTCAGAACAGGTGTCAGGCTACCATGGTTTATACAGGCAAGTATGTTAAACAAGGTTTTGTTACTCACTATCATCAATGTGTGAACCTAGTGGCCATCGGTTACGGCTGAGGGCTACAGGGTGAGCTACGGGTGCTATGAGGTTGAGCTTGTGGTCGTTGACATGTTTGTTGTAGCTGTCTTTGCTGACTGTGGTGAAGTGGCAGAGTTTGCAGATGAAGGAGCCACTCAGCCCAGGATGTCTTGCCTGCAGATGCATCTTGTACGAGGAGGACTGGATAGAAGAGTACGAGCAGTGCGGACACTTGTATGGCTTGTCTCCGGAGTGTCTCATCATGTGTCTACGCAGAGAGTTGTGGTCTCCTGCAAAACATCACCAAAGTCTTAGACACTAACCAGGCTATAGTTCGGCTGCTTAGAAAGCGACCCCCTCCAGCATTGGTTTAGCATTAGCACGCAGGTCGTTTTCTAAGCGGCCGAACTATAGCAACACAATTATGGCAAAGCCCTTCTGTGGTCATGGCAAAATTTAGAAACCTTTTGCTGTTAAAGTTACATCATCATTGTTCATTTTGACATGCAAAATTGTCTATTTTTAACCATCCATCTCTTCAGACGCTTTCTGCCATCGCATAAAAAATTCAGCTTGGCTAGAGAATTTTTTACACCCTGAAATGACTCCTCGGGCAATCTTTTGGCCCGACCCAACCCAAAAATGTTGGTAACGCACAGACCCATAAATCAAAGTCTATACTTGGACTCACCAGTTCTGAACGAACAGATGGTGCAGGCGAATGGCTTTTCCCCCGTGTGCTGCCTGATATGAACCTGCAGCATGGCCTTGCGAGCACTCATGTGACCGCAGATCTGGCACTTGTATGGCTTCAGCTTACTGTGCACTGCCTATACACACAGATAACTAAACCACTGCAAGCACACTGAATTTAACAATAACTATAACTCATTTATCATTTAGCTTGATCAACAATAATCCTGGTGTGATCAGTACAACAGAAAAGTTCCAACATTTGTTGTTTGTGATTTGATTTTATCCATTTCAATAAACAAACCATTTGAATTGAAAAATACAAAAAAAAATTGCAATACAGACGGCTTGACTATTTAACTGTTAACGACTAGCCTAGTACAAACATAATATTTTACTTTCAGCACATTAAAAAGATACGAGTGTAATAGTAAATTTATGTTGCTGCTTCAAGGATTATTCATTTACCTATTTATGTCTGAATTCCTTCAACATAAAAACAGAAAATTAAAAACTCTTTATAAAACAAACATTTAGGGGAACAAAGATCACGTAAGGCTGAATTGATAGCCAATAAAATATCATGTGCATAAAGATAAAGTCTAACAAAAAGCACAACTCAAATATACCTAAAACCAGGTCAAATGTCTATCCTTTAAAAAATCTTATAAAAAATAATAACCTAAAGTAGACAGAGTCTCATTTGAGATCCAAAAATTTTGCAAAACCTGTTTTACTCAAATGTCTACAATAATCCTTAACAATGCATAGTCCATACTATAGTATCAAAAGTCTAAAAAATGACAAGGTAATTACTATAAAACTAGTGGCTTGAAGGGGCAATAGCCCCTATATATATTCTAGTAATTATTTTGTACAATTTATTAGTCTCATGGGTTACCCTACCTTGATTGTAGTTTAAGATTTTGTATATTATAATATGTATAATAGTTATTACATACCTGTATAAAGCATTTTGATGTCTGCTCTGTTAAAAATTAAAATTCCAAAGGACTTTTCATGCCCCCAAATTATCATGCCCAGACCTTTAACATAAGACCTCTCCCAGCTTTTTACGGCCTCCCGTTCCCTCACAATTTCATTGTAAAATGTTGGGCTTACGGAGTTAGATATATATATCGTATGTGAAAATTTCCCTTGTAAACTTAAATGGCATATTACGATCTATAGTTATTAGTTTTATTTTTGGCCAGAAAAATTGTTCACTTTGCTTCTCAAGTAATTACTACTAATTTTACACTTTTTTTAGACATAGGTACCTAACACAACCAATCGTACTCCATTAACTAATCCAGACCCTAGGTTAATATTTCTAATGAGCATTACTATTGAACCAACTTTTAAAACTAATTTGTGTGGGAAATACGGTTGTATATAGTCAATTAGTATTTTAAACCTCTCTTTAGGGTTAGTATACATTTTTCACCACACTATGATGTTTTTGGCTGTATTACATACGTTAATTGGTGGCTGAAAGTTACGTTTTGCTGGCCATGCCAGCTGTCGCCAATTTGGGGACCGAGCAGGTTTTTACAGGCCGGGGCCGCAAAATCAGCTGTCCGCTTACTTACTTAGAACATGAATGCGTTTTAAATACACAATCAAAATCCATAGCATTGCAATATAGAATTGTGTTATTGACACCGTTGCCTAGCAACTATTTATTTATATTTTTGCTGATTCCTCAAATTATTTCTTAACCTTAAAGTTGTAGTTGTGTTGACGATCAGTGTGCATTATTATAGTGGTGAATAGTGGTAATAGGGTATAGTGTGGTGAAAAATAGCGTTCGTACCACGGACCGAAATGGTTTTGCAGCTCTCGATCGATTTAAGTTCTCGACTTCGTCTCGAACTTAAAAACTATCTCGAGCCGGCAAAACCTCATTTTCGGCCCTTGGTACGAAATATACTATTACAGTACATTACATACTGTATTACCATATGCTTTAAATAAAGTTAAACCACTTGTTTTAAAGTAAACAAAGCAGACATGACATAGATTCCCATGTTATTTAAATGTGAATTATTTTATTCCATAAGGACCTTTTGGTGCATAATTAAGAAAAATGAATAGTTTTCCCTCAAAATTCACGTCAAGACCTTTAAAATAAGACCCCTCCCATCCTTCTACGGCCATCCAGTCACTCACAATTTCTTTACAAAAATTTGACTTACGGAATTATATATATTGATTACCTGCATGTGTTTCTTTAGGCATTTAGAGTCAGCATAAGTCTTGAGACAAATCTCACACTTCTGCGACATGTACCTGAGAAAAGTTCTATTTACAATAATTGCAACCAATATATACACATAAGCAACAGAAGATGAGGAATTTGAAATTTTTATCACACAAAGACTGTCTGAAATATTGATACATGAGGAAAACATAAATTCAAGATAACGTTTAAACATTGTAAAGCAATATACGTTGGCAATTTTTTTTTTATATTGCTCTGCAAGCAAAGAGATCCTCAGAGTCACTTTTCAGTGTGACTGGAACTAGTGGAACTAAAGACTGAATGCCACAATATCAATTAGTCTAGACAGTGATGCATACTTGGTTGAGTATTTTAACTGGACCCAGCTGTTCCTGATCATTGGGCTTTAAATATATGATCCTGACTACTGAAACAGCTGATCTTAGTGAGTAACAAAGCTACAAGATCACCTCACAACATTCTGCACTCATCATTCACTCATATTTGGGTTAAAATATGCACCTAGGTGGTGTCCCCACTCCCTATCTCAGTTGATAAATAGAGCGAGATAATATTTGTAGCTCTGTACTGACCAAGATCAGCTGTTTTATTAGTCAGGATCATTTAATAAAAGCCCAATGATCAAGGAATACAACGCTCACAGGCTGGATTCAAAAAATTACTTAAGCGCCAATGGGTTAATAGTAGGACCACCTTGAAATTCCATAATAAGCAACAGCCATCAAACCGTCCTAAAGAATTAAAAGCAAAATTGCATTGACAATTATCCTTAACATAAATAATTTTTAAACGAATTTCAACCCAACAGATATATCTCACCACTTAGAGCCGCTGTTCTTCGATTGGTGCTTGTTGTGGACGGAGGACACATGGTTGATCAGCTGTGTTGGTTGTTTGAACCCCTTGTCGCACACTTTGCACTTGTACGGACGTTCGTCGCTGTGGATCTTCTTGTGACACTCGAGCTTCCTACGAGTGGTAGTCTTGTAATCTCCGCACACCTGCGGCAGAATTCTTATGTATAGTAGTCTCTGACCTAAACCTATTGTGGCATGGTCAAACAACACAAAAATAATAAAAATTATATTTATATTACAAATTTATATATTGAAATAGGAGGCAAAGTTTACTTGCATCAAAAGTTAATGCCTGTGTAGTCTGTTTTGTATCCAATATAGGTGTAATTAGCATCTGATCAGTGTTTGAGTGTTCTACCTGATGTCAGATTGGTTTTAACTTTTTTTTAGTGTGTGATTTCGCAGAATTAAAATTGCAATAGCAAAATACAGCGTATACGGCATACAGGGTGACCTGCCCACTATACCGACTCCTGGACCAACCAAATTTAAGAATAATGGAGGTTACTCATTTTTAAGATGTGTATCAAACAATATCTGTCTGTCTGTAGTCATAGGATAGGATCACTGCTAGTTAACTGAAACAATCTGCCGTTTTAACTATTGGTTACCCAATGAGCCCGAATATTGATGTACGCTACACAGTATCTTAAAAATGAGTTTTCTACCTCATTTATGAAACAATTACATTCATTTTGACATTAAACATGACACATAACTATAATAGTTTAATTTACCTACTTTACTTTATTGTTATTTCAGTTAAAGTATTTTTAATTGCCACCATTTTGAAAATACAAAAAATGGTCCTTATTCATCTATTCACTAAAATACTAATTTAGGACCTGTATTTTTATGGAAGTTCCTCATAACCTTATTTCTGTGTTATTTATGCCCCAACAGACAGACTACAGAACTCGGTAGCTGGATTATTCAATGTAGCTACACTTGGGGCTGTACTATTCTACGTGGATACACTTACATTACAAGAGTACAGATCCACGTCAACACTGTGATCCTTCCATAGATGAAGCGCACATGCGCTCCACTTGGAGAACAACATTGAGCACTTGCAGCAACAGAAGCTGCGCACACTCTCCTCCGCATGACATGATTGGTGAATCTGTAGGAAGTTGAGCGTGCTGAATCTGCAAACACACATTGTCTCGGGACACCTACAATAGAGATCAAAATCTTATGATACAAAGTACTAAATCCAGGCATTCTAAACATTTCCTAATGCTTTTAGGCAAAATATGAAATGGAGGGATGGTAGGTATCCGTTCAATTGACTAGGCTTTGGGTAATAAAGGGATAAAAATCTATATGTACCAGCAAAGTGATAAATTCAGGCATAGAAAGACTAGGCATATACACGTCCTAATGCTCAAAGGTATAATATGAAATGGAGTAATATCAATAATGTATTCACTTTGGATAGGTATCGTGAATAACGCCTCGACATTTTATAACATTTGCACAGTTGTATCAAAGGATTATTTAGTTGCTTACAAGACGAAGAGGCGTAATTACATAGACTTATCCTACAAACGTATGCCTCGTCGACTTAAAATACCTGTTTACTTTACAATATTGAAATATTTTGTACAAGTTAGGTTAGGTTAGTTAAGACAAAACTAAGGGAAACAAAAGCCTAAAGGATAGGAATTTTTACAGCATACTTAAAATTTATCGGTAGTGCAAAGGCGCATTCTATAGATTGACTCAGAGGCAAAGTGCTTAGGGCGGCTAATATTACTTCAACAAGTCTAAAATATGTCAGTGAAACTATTCAAATCTAGAATGACGTCGTCCCACCTTCACATCCTAGGACACTAGGTTCTAGCCAGGAACTGTTTTGCACGTTACTTCATGCTAATCCTAGAGGGTCGCAGCATTATCCAATAGTGGTAAAATCCATTGGTGGTTGGCAGGATTTGAACCTGGAATCTCGGGCTCCGAAGCCTCACACTCTCTACCACTAGACCCAGAATTTGACCTTAGGCCTCAAAAGTTTGTCAAACAGACTTACTTAACAAACTTACTTATGAGGTTTAGCTTCAAACTCCGGATCATAATCCTCCTTCGGTTTGGTTCTAGGCTTTGGTAGTTTAGCCAGTAGCAAGTCCTCAAATGTGGGACCCTTTGGAGACTTAGGTGAAGAAGGAGGGTCGTCCTCGGGTAAAATATCTTCTTCATCTGTTTCTATTTTTATCTCGGTAACGATGTCAACTTCGTCTTTTGTAGCTGTGTCCGTCACTTCATTCTCAACTGAGACTGTTTCTGGATCGACTTCTTTTGCTTTCTCTTCATCCAGCACCATCTTGTGATCCTAAATAAAAAGTGTAGTTCAAAATAAAATTCCGTCATAGGTAAATTATTGTTAAAAGTACCGGTAACTTACAGGTATTTTATTTTTTTTAATGAAAAGCTCAGGAATATATTAGGAAACAAGGAACGAGCACAACTAAGAAAAGAGTTCCATCCACCATTCTACTACTTCCTTCTTAAGAAGACCGTTTAAAAGGGAAAAATTTAAAATAAAGAGTTTATTATATACTATTTATATATGTATGTATTTTTATACAGGGTTAGGCAAAAGTCTGCAACCCCCCAGTTAACTTTTTAACACGTTGTAGTAGGAAAACAAAACTCGGCACATATTTACAACATAAGAAATTGCACGTTTCAGTGCAAACTTTGCCCTAGTACAAAATGGGGTATTTTGGGGGCAGCCCAAAATTTTCAAATGTAAACACCTATCATGTGACCCCTCATTTTAAAGGGTTTATCAAGAGAAATTGAATGGCGCAAACCTGAGGTCAATATCGCACCCCTAATCAAAATGGCAACCATTTTAATTATTTAAGATGAGCAAGCAAGATTAAGTCTGGACACCCCCGGTTAACTTTAAAAATTTATACTGACCAAAAGGTGTATTCTCTTTTTTTATAAAGGTATGCTGAGTTTAGTTTTCCTGCTATAACCTGTTAAAAAGTTAATAGGGGATATTTCAAAATGACTGCCATTTTGATTAGGGGTGCGTTATTGACTTCTACTTTGCGCCATTTAATATTTCTTGAGAAACCCTTTAAAATGAGGGGTCACATGATAGGTGTTTACATTTAAAAATTTGGGGCTGCCCCCTAAATAGGCTACCCCATTTTGGGGGCCGGGTACCTAACTTTAATGAAAAAGTGCATTTTTTCATGTTGAAAACATGTGTTGAGTTTGGTTTTCCCATTGCCACACGTTATAAAGTTAACTGGGGGTGTCCAGACTTTATCTTGCTTGCTCATCTTAAATTAAAATTGCTGCCATTTTGATTAGGGGTGCGATATTGACCTCTGGTTTGCGCCATTCAATTTTTCTTGATAAATCCTTTAAAATGAGGGGTCACATGATAGGTGTTTACATTTGAAAATTTGGGGCTGCCCCCAAAATACCCAATTTGGGAAGCTGGGGAAAAGTTGTAACTTTGATGAAAAAGTGCAATTTCTTATGTTATAAGTATGTGCCGAGTTTGGTTTTTCTACTGCAACGCATAAAAATGTTAACTGGGGGGTTCCAGACTTTTGCCTATCCCTGTATGTATAAGTTTATTTATATAAGGATATATTAACTAACTATGAATATTTTGAAAATAAATAGAAACATGATTTTAATACATCCAATTGTTTTAAAATCAACAACCAGTTGGCGGGCCAAAAACATTATTGTTTCTTGCCAAAAACAATAATTAACATATCTAAAGTTCGGCAATGTGAAAATGACACAGCTAAATAATCCAACAGCTACACCTGATTTGCATTTTGAAATTCTGTTTAGTACATTGTTAAAGAATTCAGTCTAAGTTAATAGTTACTCACAATAATCATGTGGTCTCGGCACTCAGTTAGGGAAGTGAAGCCCTCCTTGCACTCCGAACACAAATAATACACAAACTGCTCCGCGTCAGGCAGGGAACCTACCGACAAACACACTCAATGATAGTATTAAACAACTTTATTCAACAACTGTTTTACATTTAACCAAACTATACAGGATTGATGCTGGGATGCAGACTTAGGTGCTTGAATGGGGTGGCCAAAAAAGAAAGTACCTAAATAATATACAGATGCTCCCCTAACTCTATCTTGTTATTTTTTTGCTTCAGGCCCAGGCCTATTAATAATAGTTCAATTTATTAAAATAAGAAGGGTTTTATCCTAAAGATTCTGAACCAACCACTTGGCGGATTTCGATGACTCTTCTTTTGAAGGAAAGATAATTTTGAGAGGAAGGGAGTATCGGAAGCCATAATTATAATTTTGGGTTTGAGGTTTTTTACAAATTTAACTCAGTCATTGAGTTTAGCAGCCGATGATTGTTTTCAGGCAATAGCTGATTTAACACTCAGCCTGTAACCCAATCGACCTAAGATTACAAATGGATTGGTGATTAATTAATTTAATTTCTAATAGACTAACATTCATGAGATAGACTACCTATTAAAATGTTTTGCGATTGGTAGGGACTTAGTTTGTCTACAATGAATTTTCTTGTTACAAAGCACAGGTACAGAAGCTAGTTTTAATTCAATCAAGCAGACATAACAGTTAGTTCATGACTATTAGAATTCCATTTAAATAAATGACTCACCTTGGGTTAACGAAGAGTCCGCTACATCCTCCTCCGGGGTTATAGTTTCTTCGTCTACTTGTTCAGGCTGAAAAAGTTGTTCAAAATAATGTAGATGGTCAAAATTACATGGTCAATTGAAGAGCTATGGGTAACATTGGGGTGAATCAGTGGCTCAGACAATCGCAACTATCTGTGAAATCAAATAGGCTACTGTAGAGATATCTGGCTACAAACCTTGGTGACATAAATGTACCTATCACAGTCCATTTTTATACATAGCCTGCAATACCTAGCTTCGCGAGATAAATTTTACACACATGCCTTTGAGGATCATGTTATTGTGGACAGGAAAATCTAAGGTCGACACACTTTTTAAAAACAATTTACAAAAATTTTTTTGCATCTCTATGTTAACCCAAATATGAGTGTAGAATGTTGTGATGATCTAAGGTGTAGCTTTGTTACTGACTAATATCAGCTGTTTCATCAATCAGGATCATTTACTTAAAGCCCAATGATCAGGAACAGCTGAGTCCAGTTTCGAACCATAAAATATCTACAGACTTTTCTCATGATCAAAACAGCGACCTTTTGTGTGAATGTGTACAGAGCTACTAGACTACACCTGTGATCTGATTTTCATAAAACTTTGTTTGTGGGTACTAACCATGGTATCTCCAGGCCATTTATAGTTTTTTAGAAATTTTGATTTTTAAGGTGATTTTTCTAGGATCCATAAAATAACAGAAAAAACATATTTTTACAAGAACGAACTTAAAAATTTAGATTAAAATTTAGTATGTTATGTTCCTTTGAGTCTAAATAAAACCTGATAAATCCCTCAATGTTGTAAAATTTGCAGCTCAAAAGTAATTGCAATATTTGTGATTTTCTCATATGTCAGATTATCCATATCGTTAATTTAACTAGAGAAATTAACCAATCCATCCACATAAATCCTGGGTTTAACTGCATTCAAGAAAAGAAAGTTACCTGCTCATGAGTTTGAGAATGTTCCATGAGACTGGGCACATCAGCGGAAGAGAAGGAACAAAACTGACATCGGAACGAGACCAGGGGGTTGAGGTCATCATCGACGGCCAGTGGTGAGCCGGGCGCAGGTCCATCGATCACCTCCGACACATCCGGCAGCCCTAGCTGCATCAACATACCGCTACCCTGAATACAACATTTATCTTATCCTTTAAATTTCCAGCGACTTTCTGGCAAATCTCAATACTGAGAGGAAGCTATTCTTGTTAGTGGGGAAAACATTAAACATATGACCTAAAAGTAAATATAAACCCATAAAGGGTACAGTAACTGTTAAGGGGTATTATATTATAATAATAGTATTATTATAACCGTTAACTGAGAATACTATATTATTTTTGAAACACAGTCTAAACTGCTAGAACGAGTGAGAGGCATCCACACCAGCAGCATTTATTAAACTTTTCTGTAAGAAACTAGCTTACCTACCAGTTTTGAGATTGAAATCATGATAAGATTATCTAAAAATCCCATTAACTTATCAGAGACCAGCTGATACTTATTGGACAGGGAAGCAATAGGTGAAAACAAAAATGGCATGATTTCACCTCAGAGGTAATACCATAGACTAACCAACACAAGTAGACTTCTCATCCCAATTGTAAATTTTGAAGCACGTTTTTCTTGTCTAGTTCATGTACGTGACACATGGGCGCTAGTGTTGACGAAACTTTGTTTCTATTAGGCTATTTTAGGGTTAATTTCTTGATTTGTGCTTTACTGTTTGGTTATATAACTAGGGGATAAGTTATTGTTTATGATTAGATCGTATTATTGGGTTAAACAAGGTTTTAAATGGCTGTAATAACGGGAAACAAATTGTAAACAAAACACGACCTCTACATAAACCGTACAGAACTAACAATAAAATTGTCTTCAGCTGTTCCATAAGGATGAGAAATCTACTAAGGGAATATGTTTTATCTATGGTATTACCAAAGCCAAAAAACGTTCCTCACTATTATTGTCAAATAATGGTAACCCTTCTTTATAAGAGATTTTTTCATCAGTTTTAAAATGTCAATGGTACAAATACACTCATAGAAAAGTCAAGTCAAGATGAAAGAATGTTTCTTTAACATTTTATTAGACGAGTAGAAGCTCATACCTCCGAGTCGAGTCCCAGATTGTCCTGGACCAGCAAGGACTTGATCGTCGCATCACTGAGAGGAGGAAGTTCCGCAGTTGGATCTTCAAGACTCGGAGGTAGATTTTGACATCCCACGTCATTCGGCCCTTGAAGACCATCAACCAGGCAGATTTGTCCTGCATTGAAGTAATGTTTTAGAAACTTCAGTAATTCTCTATATTGATATTCAAAGATTGATACCAAACGTCATAAATTTTACCGTAACAGACTGATTTTTTAAAAATTTATTTATGCAACGGGACTGGTTTCAGTAAACAAAATTTTTTAACATCAATCAATGCAGAAAAGAACTAACTTAATAGAAGCAAATCACTTTTTTATTAACTGGCTTTTTATGTACTGGTACAAGAGCCAAACTTAGCTAGGGCCTTAATAATGGTTCAAAAAAATTATTGTGAGCAACCAACCAACAACAAAGCATTAAAATTATAAAATAACAAAAAACAACAAAACACTTGTCTTACCATTAACTTAATAAAACCTTGAACTGAAATCAACAAACAAAGTATACCTATAACAGATTAAATGTCTGAGTAGCCAAGGTAGTAAATAGTGCTTTCTCTTTGTCAGGTTACTGGTTGGTTTGATCACAAGCGAGATAAAATTTGAACCTAGATACAATTTGTAATTGAGCTATCTATTAATGACGCTATCTAACGTCCTAATTAACTAAAACATTTTTTATAAATAATGACGTGACTAAACACAAATATTTTTTCTACAAATTACATACCATTATCTGATTTAAATGCAAATCTCCCATCATCTAGTAGAACAACCGGAACTGGTACAATCTGTTGATCTTTCAGGGGCCAGTCTAAAGCCGGAGGTTTATTCAGGAACTGGTCAGGCCAAAGTGACAACAACATCTCATCGCCAATTAGCTCGCTCATTTTCATACACCTGCAAACAAACATTTAAGTAGGATAATATTGGCTTGATTTTTTTAAACTAATACACAATGTTGTTTAGTTTGAAATTAGAAGTTGGATGTTGATTGCCTGAGCTATCTATTATGCACAGCTCTATATCGAACATCATGGCGATAATTAGGCTACCATGTCATTAGAAGTGTGTAGGCCTAAAGACAAGGCATGCTGTAAAAATAAGTAGGCCCTAGGTAGTGTTTTTTAAGAATATGTTTATAATTATTTATATAGGTACAACTGCAAAGCCTAGTGATAACTTTGATGGTGCAAAAGTGTCCCTAACCCTTCCACATTTAAATTACAAAGATATTTAAATTTTGTGTTCAAGACAACCCCGTTTTACAGTACCTAAGTTACTTTGAAGGCCAAACTTTGGTGTGCCACTCCACTGGTTAAATCGATTGCTAGACTCTAATTTATCCATCCATATTGAAATATAAATTAACAATTACAACCATTGGACTGTGTAAGCAAACACAAATTAATGGGTAGACTTTTGCAGAGAACCTACGATATATTTTACAGTTGAATTGAAGGGTACAGTTTCTTAACTGGGCTACGCTAATATCGATTGAAACTATTGAATAGAAAATATTGATTAATAATCAATATTTTTAAATATATATCTATTATAAAATAAATCTATCATAACCTAACCTAACCAACCAAACTTGCTGATGGTGAAAATATCGCATGAAGGTTTACTAATCGAATCGATAGTTTCAATCGATATTAGCGTAGGCCAGTTAAGAAATTGTACCCGAATTGAAGATAACAAATATATAACATTCAGTTACTAAGCTATGCCTGGGTACAAGAATATAACTTAACTGTCTGCGGTTACTTTGATTCTCTTTTATTTATTTATTTATTTTATTTATTCATATCAACGGATACACCATTTACAAAATATGTGTTTTGTCTCTTCATTGTTGGTTGAATCTTAACTTAACTTCAAAAGTTATGCTTCTAGTCTAATTTGTTATTTTTATCTATACTTATTTAATACGCAAGCAGGTTTTTTGTGACAATTACTCCTCCGAAACTACTGAACCAATTGGCATGTTTTTGGTGTCATTGGAAAGAGCGTAACGTGAAGTTGTGCAGGAAACTTTCTTTTTAGGGAAATAATAAGAGAGTGGGGCCATGGAGCCCTTTAAAGTTTCGTATTTCTCCATAAGATTAACATTGGAAACAAAAATTGTTATGAAACTCCAGTTGTTGTCACAAAATCAAAAGTGAGAAGAAGAGCATATGTTAATTGTAAACAGTCAATAAGTTTGCTAATTTAACAGTTTGCGACAAACTTGCTGACTTGGCTGAAATTCATTTTAAAATAACGCCTGTAATACTTAGCAATTGCTCGAATTCGAGCAACAGGGACACTAGTAAAGACAAACTAGGCTAACTGGTAGGCCCTATAAGTTCTTATGCTCAAGCTTCAAGCTAAGCCTGACTTGGTCTAAATAACTTATTAACTTAAGGATTGACAGGTAAGACATCAAATTGTTATAAAATTAATAATGTACATCGAAGGGTTTGAGGATTAGTGCACCTTATAAATAACTTAAACCTATCTATAAATAACTGATTTGCACAAAATATCATTCCAGTTTGGATAACCTAACCTATAACCCTTGAGGTTTCCAAGGTAAAATAAAATATGGGATCTAAGATAAAAAGGCAATGATTTGATATCAAACTTTAGAGGATATTTTGTATAAATCAAACAAACAATGATTTCATTTACTGGGCTGTTTTTCCTAATAAAGACACTGCATGTTACAGAAACACTAAGACTCGTCTTGTGATTGTACCCTATCCTAGTTTATGAAAACATCATTTTAATAGCCTATACCGATGGGTAAATGTTTGTATAAGTTTATGATTTTTTAAACTGTAAATCATACCTTAAGTGTTATATTATTTTCTCAATTTACTTCTCTTCCTCTTGCCAGCATAAAAGCATCTTCCACAACTTCGCCAGCAACATAAATGGACATGGTTGATTCTGTTGACTGTTCTCTCTGATGCTGATCTCTGTTCTGTTCTGTTTCGTTTCGTTCGTTCTGCCACAGACAAGGGAAACAAAAGGTTCTGCTGATAAATTTGAGGAAAACAAAAAGAGTAGAGAGGCCAGAGAGGGATGCAGCAGCAGACAGGCGCACGGGACGAATTGGGACGATCCAGTCCAGTCGCATCGAAATTCCGTTGGATTAAATCCACGTCGCTCTGTTAGGGGACAGCTCACTTACTCTACAGATCATAGACTATACGAGCTTTTTAAATAATATTGAAGGTTCACTTGCACTACAGGCTCGTATACTATACGAGCCTATTGAAAATAAAAAGTAAATGAAGAGGGTTCACTTACTCTACAAATCATTGTGCCTATGAGCCTCGTGTATTATATTTAAAAATACAGTAGGAAGGTTCGCTTACTCTACAGATCATAGTGACTATGAGCCAAGCTTACGAATTATTTGATAATTCAGGAATCGGCTCGTATAGTATACGAGCCAAAATAATGAATAATATAAATTATAGGAATAGGCTCGTATACTATACGAGCCTGCAGAAAAATATTAGATGGTTCACTTACACTACAGATCATTGGCACAATGATCCGTAGAGTAAGTGAACCCTCTTCAAAATATTAGATGGCTCACTTACTCTACGGCTCATTTAGCTACTCGTTGCGCGGTTTGCGTTCGTGAAACTCTAGGCGCTATGCCCGGCTTCGACTGCTGCGACTGCCTACATAAGTGTATTGCATCACCTCAATTATTTATTAAAAAAACGAAATAAATATGTATGCACAAGTAAATTTATTACATTTTTGGACTGAATACTTTAAAAATGGAGGGAGCATGACTTTTATGTTTAATTAAATTAAACGTTATAGAATAAAACATATTTTGACTAATATCAGGTTATATAATACACACTTGTATGATCCAGATACAGAGCTACAGACAAAACCTATGGTCCGATTTAGATTAAATTTTGTATCTGGATTTATCCACGAGTCACTAATTTTTTAAGCACGGGTTGAGAAATAATGGCAAAAATTTATAAAAACAGTTCACCAGTTTAGAATATTTCTCAGTTACTGTGAGTTGCAAAAAAAAGTGTATACAGAAGCATTTGTGTACACAGAAAATATAGAGGACTAGATGTATACAGAAGATATATTAAAATACAATACGCACACAACTATCAACGTTAACATATGTAAAATTAATGAATTTGTTGTATTGAGTATTTTTAACATTATGACGAAGCCTTAACAAAACATATTTTTTTTAAGGAGTTTAAGGAGTCAAAAACTATAGTAGTGTAATACTGAAGAAGGATCACTTGACGAAGCCAGGTAACTTAAACCATTTAGCTTAAAGTTATACAAGTTGGTTTCACACCAACATTTCATGCACATATGAAATCTATATATAATTAATACGCGAACACGAAGTTTGTCGGTTGAATCCTCCACCATTTCTTAACCGATTTTATCCACTGACGTCTCATTGGAAAGAGCGTGTTGCGTAGATTTGCAAACTGGCCTAAAATTTTTGAAAAAGTCCTTTGGCCTCTGCCACAGTGGCTTTTTAAGTTCCCATGTTATCCTTACGAAGAACATAATATTGTTTACATCAGCTGTTTAATTTAATTGTGTTCTTTGTTTTTCAATTCAACGAAACTCATTGGTTACATTAACTGATTTTGTGGAAATTAAATATCTATCTATATATTAATTACGAAAGCCGATTCTTTGCGTCAAAATTGTGGGCGACTGGGTAGTCGTAGAACGACGGGAGAGGGTTCAAATTAAAGGTCTCGATCCCGGAAAAATAGTGAAATTCCCCAAATTTTAACACAAAATTAGATATAACCTTTGACTTAGTAAATAATATAACGTAAAATGTTCTCCATAAGAATAGCATTAGAAGCCATTTGTCTGTTGATTTTTGTTTACCTCAATACAGCTGATCGTGATTTATCATTAAGCCAGTAAGCAATATTACATTTGGATTTAACTCATTTGCCAGTAAATTCTGCAATGTACTGTATACTATATAAAACCAGGGATGACGTTACATACAATTGAGACTTTTGTCGTTATGTCTTAGTATGTTGAAATTAATTTTACTGTGCAATTTGCAAATTTGTGTATTTGTATGTAAATTAGCCAAGCGCATCAAATTTAGTAGAATCGTGGGAGATGGTTAAAATCAAAGTAAATGGAAGTAGAATGGCTGAAACATTTAAGCTTTGGTTTTTTTAAACATATGTTCACGAAGTTTACAAAATTATTTTACTTTGATTACATTTCTTCACATTAGTAGGTTATTGTTGTGCTGAAGGAATGTTACACATGAAATAGCCCCATTGACTAAAGAATCGACGATGCAAGATTAGTTAGAAAACTTCTGTTTTGTTTTTATTTTAAAACATATGTTGAAAATTTATTCAAAACTTTTGTTTTAAATTTCATAACATTTAATTTGACACGTAATTGTAGTGTTTAATCTATACTTTGTATCGAGTGGAATAACCTTAACAGTTACTCTAGAGAATAACCTGGGAATAAAATTTGAAATAGGTTTGTACAGGCAATACATATATTCCTTTCATTAATTACTATAACAAATTCCAATGGGCGGAAAAATAAAATTGTTTGGAGTAGATTTTAACCAGGTATCTACTGTCTGTTGCTCCAAGGAAAAAAGGTTAAAATAATATAGCCCAACATGCATTGTATATATATATATATACAATCTATATAGATAGTAAAGAGAGAATCTATAACAGTAAACCCTGGAGGTAGTTTCCGATTCTTCATGTTTCACTAACCAAAAATATGTACCTATATCAATGCTGATGAATTTGTTTTCTTGATTGGTTTCATTAACATGATAATGGAACCCTAACCAATGGCAAAAGAGTTAGTAATCAGTCGATGATTAGCTTTTTTAACTGTAGGCTAAATAAATAATATAAACGGTAAAATGTTTTCAAACAAAATTTACATCCATTGAATGAAAAATAATATACTATTAACATGGCTATAGCTGATATGGCTTAGCTGTCGGCTATCTGTACATTGCGTCATAACAGCAGACAGCGCTGTGTTATTAACTTAAAAATTATAACGGATTAGCAAATAAATACTTTACTATGGTCTTAACAAACTATGAACCCACTGAACGTTTAAATTGGCCTATTTTAAAGAGTGTATAAAGTCAACCACAGCTTTAGGAGGATTACCACCACATAAGCTGACACAGAGAGTAGTTTATATTTTATGTTGATCAGAAACGAAACTAGGGCAGCCTTTACACTAATTCAGTTGTGCCTTTACAAAAGGAGTAGAGCTATAATATTAGAAATAATAACTGGGCCAGGGTACTAATATGAGTACATGTAGTATTGTAGCACTGTATCGATTCTGACACATAGATAATTTTATTCTGAGTTTGTTTAAATATTACAATAGTTTGTTTTACATTTGAGCTTTTTAGGGACTTATGTCCCTACAAGCCACTAGTTGATCAATATAAAGCCCAAAGTACACATGCACTTTTGTGAAAACTACAAGTCATACCCCCATAAACCATATACTTAAAATGTTCGTCATGACGAGAAAACTAGCGCAAAACTATCCATTATTTCATAAACTGTCCTTAAAGGTCGTAATTGGTTTCCAAGGAAACATAGGAAAGTTATAGAACGTCACCAAGTAGCAGAAATCGAGATTTTTTAAAAATATTATCGTTATCATCCTATATAAAAGAAGAACACCTACAATATGAAGATTCCCACAAACAATGAACAAGGATGTTATCGGAAGTGCTACTTTTTTGTAGGAAACACGGACTTAACTTTATGATGATTTGCAAAGGAAACCCCTCTAAGGCCGAATTAAACCGGTACGGCAAGGACATTATATATGTTTTCATAAAAGTCAAGTGATATTAAAATAACATGACTAAATCCAAGAAACCTTAACAAAACTTGCATTGAAGGATTCGCATTATTCACATTCAAGGGAAACAAAAACCCATCTGAACAACATTAGGGCCTTACAATTCTGCATATTTTCAGGTAAATATAACTTACGTTATAACAGTAACTAGCCAAATTAATGCCAATTGAGGCAAATAAAATTGTGACAGAGAGGCTATGCAGAAAATCAGGCAGTTCTTAAGTACCTATTGTAAACAAAATTGTATCTCTATAAAAAAATTACTGAAATTTGTAAACGTACTGGTGACAATGGGTAGTACCATGCTGACTACGTTATCATTGACGAAGATCAACATGGACTACCTAATGTGGCTATAAGTGGGAAATATTTGTAGAATACACTAAAAACCAGATCAGCTTTTGAAAAATGGTAAAATATTTACAAGAAATGTTTAGGCTATTATATGGAAATGTTAGGTACGTTCCATCTATGAGTTTAGTCTTTTAAAGTCATCGGAAATTATTACTTTTATTCGTTTTTAAATAAGTTAATAATTGTTTTTAAATAACTACTTTACTTCTTTGCAATAATTGCTCGATTTAGAGCAACATGTACACTAGTCGTTAATTATACTAGCACATTTTTGACGTGAGATAATAGCACGTTTGAAAAACAATGCTAATGACATCAATACACACAGTAGGAATTTATTCGATAAGAAAACTCCTTAAACGATCTATTTTTAGCCTTTAAATACCACCCTGTGTACGCCACTATCTGCCCTGTATTTTGCTCATTTTCTTTACGCTGCCTCTACCCTAATCACTAATTCAACTGAACAAAGTAAAAATATGTGTGTTATAACATTTTGGATCTATGGTATTGCGTTTTAAACCATAATAAAAGCTAAAATACAATTTAAGAGTGTTACTGAGAGAAAGTCACGCGACCCTGTAATTTTTCTACCTTTTTTCTATCCCACCAACACATCTTACGCTAGTTCTAGCCCGTAACAGTTGAACACAATATTTCAGGCAAGTCCTAGATCGTACTAAGA